GTGTGCTCCGGCTTGGTCGTCAATCTTTGAATCTGCTTGACTCAAAATCCGCCGCGTGTACAAAAACGGCGGTCTCGACGGGGAACAGTGTGTGATCCTCACGCCAAATCCCCTTGATGTTCAGGCGGTCTCGACGGGAAATCGGACAGGCGGGCGCATACACGTACTAGCCGGCGAACAGTGTGTGATCCTCACGCCAAATCCCAAATAGACTGGCAACTTGAAGGTAGGAAAAACAGTGAACAAATACTTATAGAAAAACTATGACAAGGTGGCTCCGAAAAAGGACGGAACCCGTTAAGAAAGGAACGAAGGACGATAGGAGAGAGGAGGAGGAACGCAGGCATGGAACAAAGAGGAGGACACAGGGTGAAACAGGAAGGAAAGCAATGCGAGCTGGAACCCACAGAAAAAAAATAAAAATAAAAATAAGGCTATGGAGGTTGGGAAAAAAGAGGGTCAACGATGACGAAATCGAATCTGAAAAGTCGCCCGCAAATGCTTTCCCCCCGCTGACTATCGATCAGGGATGGGCTGGCTATGGAGGCAAGGTAAAACTGGTATTTTTCCGCATGGAAATGGGTTTTGGAAAACGAAAAATCTTCGAATTTCAAAGCTGCGTGCAAAGAAACACCGACCCAAAATAAATGTCTAATCCCGTCCCATCTCCCCTTTGAGGTCGGTACTTTTTTTTTTTGTTTCCTCAATGAACCAAGTCGGAAATATGGTACACACGTACAGTTGCAGACTCAGAAAATGCGATGTGGACGTGCACAGATGAGACAAGGAGAAAGGTGGGATGCGGTCAAAGTGACACAGACGGAAGACATCGAAGAAAGAGCGGCGTAAGTGGAACGGTCCCCTTTGGCGGCATGGAAGCGGAAAAAAGAATGGCGCGCATAATCACACTACCATAGAGAACTGTTTTGGTTTGGATGTTAATACCTCGTCAGAGACGGCCGAGGGCAAGTCCTGCGACAGTGTAATGAGTACGCACTCAAGGCATACTCACTCTAGGGCTCTGGACGTTATTCCGATCAGATTCATCCAGGTTTGGCTATAATTGCAGTCGGATACATATAGGAAAACGTACTCGGATTGGAATGTTGTTTTCATGGGAGACCGGCAGAGGAGAGGAATCACGAAGACAAACAAACGTATAGAGACTCAATGGGCCTCTCACTCCACTACTTACCAAATGTGCGAAATGAGAATGAATCTTCCGGAAGAAGATGGAAATATACATAGCCATAATTCTTGTCTTTTGTGCATGTGGAGACTTAGTGGAATGAGGCCCTTACCCACCGACGAGATGCGTAAAATGGCGGGGGTCTCGCGGCCTACCCACCAGCGAGATGTGTAAATAAAATGGCGGGTGTATCTTCAGGCGGAGATGACGGAAACGAATATAAATATACATTTGGCGTTTTTCTGTCCCTTTCACATTTGTCCCGTGGTTAAGCGAGGCGCCATTTCTGATGCCGCCGCGGTCGTGCCTGCCCGCCTTCCTGTTTACCCGCCATTTCTCATGCCGCCGTGGTCACGGGACTACATGTAGCCAGCATGCTCGTTTGGTTTTTCATTTCTGTCCGGATACGTTTCTAAGGGCCAGATCCCACTACCAGTCCCTATTGTTCATTTCTGACCGTTGATCTTCGTAATCGAGGGTGAAAAAATGCATCTTCCGCCAATTCTGCTGCGATGTACATTCATTCAACACTTTTGCATTTGGCGCCAGTGAATGCCGCTCCATACATGTCGTCGCTTTTTGGGGAAAAAAGGGGTGAGTGACCAAAGGAAAAAGAAAACCATGATGACCGACTTGACATATATGCATGAGAAATAAAGAAACAAAATAATCCCCCGCACGTGTTTGTGTCACAGTTATGTCTTCATTCCCCTCATTCGCTCGCAGGTTTCGAACTCAGGTTCTGCTATTCGCCGCGGGTTTCGAACTCAGGTTCTGCTTGTCACCACAGATTTTTTTTGTTTTTTTCGGGGAAAATCAGCACAGATTTCGAACTCAGGTCACCTTGTTTCCTTTTTCCGCTCTTCGGGTCGTGTCCCGACTGTTTGTTTGCCGCCCCTTTCTTTTCGAACAGTGTCCGTCGGCCAAGGACGGTAAGTGCGCATCCTCCCGCCGCCCTGCCACCCCGCCGCCCCCGGGCTAGGTCCCACTTGCACGAATTAAGAGATACTGACCGTAGATAGCAGAGATAAACGGCCCAAATCTCCTAATTTGCGCAAGTGGGACCTTGCCCCCGATTGTTACCGCCGTTCAAGATGTTAGATCCGACTGCTCGGGGCCTTTCATTTCAACGGACCCCTTCCGCGGTACGAGAGGAGGAAACATAAAAAACAAAACAACCACCAACTGACCAGCTCAGTTGGTAGGGCCCTGAACTGTTGAAATGCAGACCTGAGTTCGAACTCCACTGAAAGCAGATAATTAAAATACTGAAAGAAGATTAAGACACATGAAAAATGTACCAGATAACTTGCTTAAGTTACAGCGGGCGATCCCTGATTATTGGCTGTGTATTCTGAAGAGCACGGGAGAAAAACCGCCGGACACCTGGTGGAAGGACCCAGAAGATGCGAGAGGAGTACTGAGAATATTAGGCCCCGAACTGGATCAAGGTGTCAAAGTCCAATATTGGCAGGAGCAGTCAAATTGCAGAATGAGCACTAAACTGAGAATGGTTGGCATTAAGCTGAAACACGTGGGAGAGAAGCTGATCCAATCGACAGAGGAGTTACAGGAGGTAAGGGTGTGGGTGTCAGATTCAGAATCTGCAGAAGCGGTATTACTGTCTCGTTCACCCGAGGGTCTCCAGGTAGAGCCTCTTTTGTATGGGTGGAAAGATGTAGAGAAGTTGGGAGCCTTCTCTCCTGCACTGTTTTACAAAACCAAGTTAGGAGTTGAAGTAAAGTACTACAAGCATCCAGAAAGACCCAGGCGATTTCAGTAGCAAGCGAAAGGCTGCAGAAGGAACCGGGATTCCAACTGGGGAATATAAATCTGCACAAGCTCTGGACGGCATTGAAAAAGATCCCCTCCCAGAAACAGGCGAGTATCATGTGGATTCAGTCACTGTCTGTTACTGCTTCTGCCTCCTGGCTGGCATCAAGAGGTATGGAGATCGAAGAAAGATGTGTACGGTGGAACTGGGGCTGGGAAACCAGCAGTCATCTTTGGCTCTACTGTCCAATGTCAACCCGCTTATGGGATTGGTGGAAAAACCACTGGAAGGGGATAACAGGAGACAGCTTCCAGTGGACACACGAGTGGGTAATACATGGACTCTGTCCTGATGATCAGGACCTGCAGGGAGGCTGGGGGTATGTAGCCCTGGTGTGCAGAGGGGTGGCAATGGAAGTGATTTGGAATGCAAGGAATAGAAAGGCAGACTTTCCCCCAGCAGACAAGCTCCTTTCTTACGCTACTCCGACGGACTATTTACGCAGACTGGCAGGGTGTGAAACAGCATCAGAAGAAAGGTTTGGCCTGGTTTCGTAACACATGGGCGAAGGACGGCAGGTTAGCATCTGTTTCAGGGGAAGGGAAACTCATTCTTACTCCTTGGCTGTTACAAGGAAGAATAGAGCAAGAATAGAACCGTTTTAGGTTCGTCTGGTCGGATAGTCAGGTGTTAGAGGAAGCAACTCTGTAGGATAGGCGGAGTAGTGTTGAGGTTTCAAGGAAGGGAGGACATGGACAAGGATCAAGTTAAGTATGACAAGTTCGGTGCCAACGGGCCCGAAGATCCCAGGATACCCTTGAGCTTTAACAAATAGGCCCTGTTCTCACCACAAGGGGCTTGAGTCGGGTTGGCCACAGATGAGTTGTAACAGATGAGTCGGCTTGAGTCAGATCCCACAAGGGTTAACAAGAAGCTTGGTCCCTACAGATGAGTTGTAAGAGCAAGGTACTGGCCATGATGGTCCATGCTGAGGAATTGGGAATTTTTACTGGGCTTCAAGTGGATACTTTTTTGGGAAGTAATCTTCGACGGGCAGGACGCTGGACCTGATTTCCAGCAATAGTTGGGGGTTAATTTGCGCAGAGGACTTTTACTTGAGCAAAATTTGTAAGCTAAACTGGCTGAGGCTGCCAGGATAACTCCGGGTGGAATTGTGAGGTCCCCGGCCTCGTCCTGTTGCTATTATAATAAAAGTTCATGCTTTCCAAAAAAAAAAAAAAAAAAAAAAAAAAACTGAAGGTTGCAGACAAGCACAAGGCAGTACTTCTTGCTGATATGCCGCACATCAGCGGCCTTGTCTCTGCGGGGGTTGTTCCCAGCCCGTTTGAGTATGCGGACATCCTCATGACAACAACCCACAAGTCGCTCCGTGGCCCTAAAGGAGCAAATGATATTCTTCAGAAAAGGAGTCAAAGGAGTCGACAAGAACGGCAAGGAGATCAAATACGACTTCGTGGAGAAGATCAACTTTTCTGTCTTCTCAGGTCTCCAGGGTGGGCCTCACAATCGCACCATAGCTGGGTTGGCTGTGGCTCTGAAGCAGTGTGCTACGCCAGAGTACAAGGCTTATCAGAAGCAGGTGGTTGAAAACTGTGCACGCTTTGCGAATGTGACCTGGTCTCTGGGGCCACAGACAACCACTTGGTACTTGTCGACCTCAAGAAGAAGGGAGTTGATGGCTCAAGAGGGGAGCGAGTGATGGAATCGGCCCACATTGCTGCCAACAAGAACACGGTCCCTGGCGATGTGAGCACTATGGTACCTGGAGGTATCCGAATGGGCACACCAGCACTAACAAGTCGAGGATTTACCGAGGTAGACTTCGAGAAGGTTGCTGAGTTCTTTGCCAAATCTGTGCAGATCACAATCAAGGTCGAAGAGCAGACAGGTGCAAAGTTGAAGGATTTCGGACATGCCGTGATTGCGAAGCTGCGGCACGAGGTCAAGGAGTACGCAAAGCAATTCCCAACAATTGGCTTTGAGAAGGGCAGCATGAAGTATGTCGATTGAGTGAGAATGGATATACATAACACGCAAATAGGTTGTCTTTCAAACAGGGACAAGTGTGAATGCACCTGGCTGTGTTAACGTTAC